TTTTTTAAAATTTTTTAAAAATTTAAAAAGTAATAATGAAATAGGTATAGTTTTATAATATTTTTCTTCTTATTTCATCTTTTAGATTACTATTTAAATAGAATTGGCTTCATAATTATTTTGGTTTGAAAGATCAAATTTACTCTAGAAGCTGATTCTGAAGAGTAAAATAAACTCCAGATTATTTAAACTTTTCTAAATACTTTAGAAATTAATTTTAGAATAATTCAAGTCAGAAATGTAGATACACTTTTTATATCATAACAGATTTTTCTTTTTAATAGGGCTTTGCAGTTTGCTGATGTAATCGTATTATTTGGTGCCAGATTAAATTGGATTTTGCACTTCGGACTGCCCCCAAGGTATCAGCCAGATGTGAAGTTTATCCAGGTACTCAGAGCAGAGAGATTTAAAATCAGCGCTGTGATTTACTGTTCTCCTCAGCTATTATCAGCTCTGCTTTCTTCTTGGCTTTTGTAGATTTTTATGAATTACCTAACATAATTACAGGTACCAAAGTAAGCTGCCTTTTCAAGCCTATGAAAAACATAATATGCTGCTTTACTTCTAACCAGAAAACCTTTCAAAACCAAGTTTTAAATAGTTTGAAAAGCACAATTTGCCTCTTCTTCATAGTTCAGGTTTATTTAAAGGTAGACAAAAGGGGTTTAAATAGAATGGTAGATTAGAACAAAACATTCAACATTGTTAGGGATTGAGTTGTCCTTTTAGATGCCAAATTTTTCAAACACGCTTTGGTTGGAAATCTCTAAATGCTGCTTTTACTTGTCACTAAACAGAGTGGAATATACTCTGACCTCACTTTAATGGTTCTTGTATCATTATGATTCTCTTTTTAAGCCAGTTTCCTTACTGGTGTAGAAGGTACTACTGCCTGGGTGGCTCAGTTGGTTAAGCCTCTGTCTTCAGCTCGGGTCATGATCCTGGGGTCCTGGGATCGAGCCCCACATTGGGCTCCCTGCCTGGTGGGAGCCTGCTTCTCCCTCTCTCCCTGCTCGTGCTCTATCTCTTGCTATCTCTCTCTCTCAAGTGAATAAATAAAATCTTTAAAAAAAAAAAAGAAGGTACTGCCTATATAGTGCCATATGAACCTGTTTGCCCTACAGAGATTGTGTATGGTGTTTGATGACCCAGCTACAATTGCTATCTTCTCCCTATTTGCCTTTTACTTTTTAAGGAGTCAACTTCTAACAGGCCCTTCCCCCCTGGAGCTATGGAGAACTAACGCTGCAAATAAGCAAGACCTGGGTTTACCTGGAAGATGTTACCACCTCTTGATTAATCCCCTTGAGTATAGAATAAAGTGCATCCCCTTAGATGTGACTAAATTACAACTCCTTGCACAACGATTTTCACTTGCCCATGGCCATTCAGATATGGAGCTTCTGGGTAAATGGGAAATAATCATGCCTTACCCTAGGAGTAATTCTCAAAATGTGGTCCCTGGACCAGCAGCATAGCACCACCTGGGAAACCTGTTAGAAAAGCACATTTTTGGGCGCCTGGATGGCTCAGTTGGTTAAGCGACTGCCTTCGGCTCAGGTCATGATCCTGGAGTCCTGGGATCAAGTCCCACATCAGGCTCCCTGCTCAGCAGGGGGTCTGCTTCTCCCTCTGACCCTCTTCCCTCTCATGCTGTCTCTCATTCTCTCTCAAATAAATAAATAAAATCTTTAAAAAAAAAAAAAGAAAAGCACATTTTTGGTCCCCACTTCAGATCTACTGAGTTCAGAAACTCAAGTGGACTTTTGCAATCTGTGGTTTAACAAGGCTACCAGGTGATTCTGATAGCTCACATTTGAGAACTGCTCTAAGTAGCAATTCCAGTGTAATTAAGTAGAACCTTATTGATTAGATTAAAAAACTATAATTGGTCAAGTCAAATGCATTCCTGTGTGTATAATAGAACAATACCCGGATCTACAGAGTAGATATTAAAATGAAGGAAGATGATGAAGTTTCTGTCCTAGCTGTGATACTCATAGTTCTATGGATTTTTACTTTTATTAAGAATTTCTTGGGGCGCCTGGGTGGCTCAGTTGGTTGGATGTCCAGCTCTTGATATCGGTTCAGGTCTTGATCTCAGGGTCATGAATCCAAGCCCTGCATTGGGGTCCATTCTGGTCGTGGAGCCTACTTAGAAAAAAAATTTCCTGAATATCAAATCTTCAGTTCATTTATTCAGCCTTAATTGACTTCTTTGAGATTTTTAAGAATAAGCATGGCTCGTTCTTAAGCTTTATCTCTTTTTTAGGTTGATATCTGTGCAGAAGAATTGGGGAATAATGTAAAGCCTGCTGTGACTTTGCTAGGAGACATAAATGCTATCGCTAAACAGGTAAGAGCGTTTGCCTAGGTTTTAGTTTATGTGGATTGGTCTTTAGGGAATAGTCAGTTCCTAAAAATGTTTCAACCTTGATTCACTTGGTGACAGGTTTATTAATATCTATTTTAAATAAAATTTATGATGGAAAGCTATTCTTAAATATAACTTTGGAACTCACTAAATCAACTGCTTATATATAGATCATTTTTATGTAAATTAAGCATTTTTGGAAGGCGATTAAGACTTAAAGGCATTCAGTAGGCAGTGATTTACTAAGTAGGATTCAGCTGTCTGAAAAATTATAATACAGCTTCCAGAAGAACTGAACTTAGAGCCAAGAAATGTCTTTATGTACTGGAAAAATCTAAGTATTTCTTTAGAAAATAAGGAGATTTTTACTCTTCAAATGGTACTTAGTGACTTGTCCAGATTCTTTTTATTTGTACATAATTTATATATATCACTGTAACAGGAGATAAAATATAGTCACAATTATTACTTGATTTTGGATACAAATTGGTATTGTTATCATGATTATATAATATTATGAAGCATCCCCCAGTCACATATTAAATCATCCTGGAGCATTTGGTCTGTATCTCAGGAATCCCTGGGTATTTGGGGTTGTTGTCCTTCCCACAAGGATTCTATGATTTTCCTTCTAGTGTCAAAGGCTGAGGAGGGCATAAAAGCCCCTGCCTGTGAGGTGTGGAGAAGGTAGCATTTCCCCTGTGTTCTATGGAAATTCCAACTTTTGGTGGAAGTCCACACTGACCCAAACAGAAGCTTTCCATGTTGCCCATTTATCAGTTGTTAGCTGCCTAGAGGAAAAACAGTGTGAGTGATGTGAATGGCAGGATAGTATAGCAGTATTGTCTTCTTTAATAAGAGATTGTTGTGTTAATATGACTTAAGTTTATTTTCAAAAAATAAAAAGTCTGGTTTTTTAGCTTTTAGAACAATTTGATAAAACACCATGGCAGTATCCTCCAGAGAGCAGCTGGTGGCAAACTCTGAGAGAAAAAATGAAAATCAATGAAGCTGCTTCCAAGGTAATTTGAGATTCACAGAAACTCAAGACCACTTCTGGTTCATGGCTCAGTTAGCCCTGTCATAATATGACCTATGCATTCCTAAAATCACCACGCTATATGAAATCATGCAGTAAAAACCACAGGGCTCATGGGAAAAAGGGTTTAGAGGCACAGCTCTCAAAAACCTTGTGAAACGTTAAGATAGGAACCTAATAAAAATGGTGGCAGAGGGACGCCTGGGTGGCTCAGTCGGTCAAGTGTGTGACTCTTGGTATCAGCTAAAGTCATAATCTCAGGGTCTTGGGATCGAGCCCCCCTTGGGCTCTGTGCTCAGTGGGGAGTCTGCTTGAGATTCTCTCGCTCTCTCTGTGCCCCTTCCCCCCCACTTGTGCACACACATGCGTGCCCGCCAACACTCTTGCTCTAAAATAAATGAATAAATCTTCAATAAATAAATAAAAATGATGGCAAAGTTTTATACATGTTAAGTGGTTAAGAAATATATATTTCAATAAATGCTTTTCCTTAAAGAAGACCTGAAGTCTCTTGTGGAAGTAGGCATTGGAAGGGTTGCAACTTGTTGAATTAGTGTGAAGTGGTAGAAGGAGACCAATCTGACATTGGACAGAAAATTTTAAGAACCTATGTGAATGAAAAAAAAAAAAAAAAAAAAAAGAACCTATGTGACTGGGTAGAGCTCACTGTCCTCAGTTTGACCTTGGCCCCAAATCATAATTAAGACATCTTTTGGAATCTTATATCTTGGAGCATATTTTTATACCATTAAGATAAAAGTCCTTCAAGCAGGCATGTATAATAGATAGGTGTTTCATCAAAATTGAAAATTTGATCTACTATACAGCCTTCTTTTTCTTTGTTAAAAAAATTTCAGCGTTGGGCGCCTGGGTGGCTCAGTTGGTTAAGCGACTGCCTTCGGCTCAGGTCATGATCCTGGAGTCCCTGGATCAGTCCCGCATCGGGCTCCCTGCTCGGCAGGGAGTCTGCTTCTCCCTCTGACCCTCCCCCCTCTCATGTGCTTGCTCTCTCTCTCAAATAAATAAATAAAAATCTTTAAAAAAAGAAAAAAAAAAGAGTGTAAATCCTAAACCTATTTCTAAAAAAAAAAATTTCAGCGTTATTGAGGTATAATTGACCTACAAAATTGTAAGATATTTAAAGGTACGTCATGGTGATTTTATATGCATATACGTTGTGGTAGGATTCCCCCCTCCCCCATCTACTTCATTAACACATCCATCACCTCACATTTCTTTTCTTTTTTTGGTGGAGACCATTTATGGCCCTTTCAGATTAACTTTTTTTTTTTTAATTAAAGATTTTTATTTATTTGACAGAGACACAGCGAGAGAGGGAACACAAGCAGGGGGAGTGGGAAAGGGAAAAGCAGGCTTCCCACGGAGCAGGGAGCCCAATGTGGGGCTCGATCCCAGGACCCCGGGATCATGACCTGAGCCAAAGGCAGACGCTTAACAACTGAGCCACCCAGGCGCCCCTCAGATTAATTTTTATATCACTACTGGAAATTGTTTTGCAACTTCCTCATCTGCACTCATGGCTTTGCCTGATATCTAAAGGCTTTGGAAGTTGTAGTAATGTGTGAAACTACCACATCATCCACTACTACTAGCAGTGAAATGAATCACTTCTGCAGGATGTGGTGATTTCTGTTTAGAGTCTTTGTATATAGGTAGAATTTTTTCTTTGTGAGAAATGTTGTTCTTGATTTTTTTCGATGCTTTGTGTATTTCTACGTATCTTGGTTCAGCTGGGTGCAATTTTCTGTGTTCATGTAGTGTTTCTCACTGACAGAATCCTGCATAAGCAAATACGAAATTTGAGTTATGCTCATATTGTTCCCTAATATGTCAGACATCTTGGAATAAATTCACATTTTCAAAACTAGCAGAATTAATTATACGTAATTTTGTGTCTCATTGGAATTTTAATCAGTGGCTGTTTCTATCAAGAGCCAGGCTCAATTCTGTTTTCCTGAATGGTGTGATGATTAATCCCTTCTTTTCCCTAGGAATCATATTAGTTTAAGATGGAAGGAACTTGCCTCTCTTCCTGGCACAGGAGTATAGGAGGGTGCCTCATCCGTTTTACGTATAATCTCCAACAGGCCAGAATAGCACAAGTGGAGAGGCAGTGCTGGGAGCACATGAGATTGTTGCTACTGAAGCCCCATGTGTCTCTCTACTCTAGAAGGCATATAGCTAGACAAAGGCACTTACCTTGCTCCATTCAGAGACTCTTTGGAATAGTGGGTGAAGCATATCCTCTTTACTCTCCAGTGCATGTTGGAGAAGAACCAGATTTTCAGATTTTCTAGAATCCTGACTTCATTTTTATTTTAAGTTTAAGGGCATATTTCAGATTAAAATATTCTAGAATAAAATTTTTATTTTTTGTAATGCAGTGTTTTCTTAAAAGTGCTCAAATAAGACTGTTTAGTTTTGTTTAACCCAGTGTTTCCAGCTATCTTTACTGTAGGACTTGTCTCACTCTAGTATGCTATTGTGCATGGTGGGTGTCCAGGAAGAAAGCTATTCCCTGGTTTATTTGATTGTGTCCCAGACTGGGTCTGTGGGTCCCCCTTTTCTTAGCATGTCCCACAGGCCTGTTCACAGATCCACTAACTTCTCAGGGTGGTGATTTGGGAACCTCGTAGCTCGTTCTTGTTGCCTATTTCCAAATAAGTTTGGTAGTAGCTTATTGACATTGCTAATTTTTCACTGTATCTCAATCTAATTTGATTATATTTCCCTCAAATACTTTAGGAATTAGCTTCCCAAAAATCCCTGCCTATGAATTATTACACAGTATTCTACCATGTTCAAGAACAACTACCCAGAGACTGTTTTGTGGTAAGCGAAGGAGCAAATACTATGGATATTGGACGCACTGTGATTCAGAACTACCTTCCTCGTCACAGGTGAGGCTTCCAGGAAAGAAATTATAATGTGTTAAATTGGAAGCTATAGTAGTGCAGGTTCATAAAACATTTGAGAATTACACATATTCAGTGTATAAGGACATATTTCATAAAAGTATTCTTAGTAAGATTTGGTAGAGTTTTTATGCTTGATATGTCTTCATGATCATGTGATAATTTGTATACTTAGTATATTCGTAGTCTTTCAAGCAATCATGAGAGACTTTTTCCACCCATTCTGCTTATCCTTGACTAATTGGTTCCTCATAATCTAAAAACTTTATATTAAAGACAGAGAATGTTTTTATTGTTCTTTATTTTACACACAAATATGACTCGATTTGTGCCAACCCCACCATCAGCATGCCCCAGAGGGTTTCATTTTAGCTTTGTTCCCCAACAGGCTCGATGCTGGTACTTTTGGAACAATGGGAGTTGGTTTGGGATTTGCCATTGCAGCTGCTATAGTGGCTAAAGATAGAAACCCAGGGCAACGTGTCATCTGTGTGGAGGGAGACAGTGCATTTGGGTTTTCTGGCATGGAGGTGGAAACCGTCTGCAGGTAAAACAGCATTTTCTTTCTCCAAAATATAAAAAATTACATATAAAGACTCACTCGCCTAACAGTGCTTACCAGGTGTTCTCCATGTGCCAAGGGCCCTTGTACATAGCTCTGTGCTGCATCCTGAGAATACTGGTATGAAATAACCCCAGCATCTTTCTCATCCAGGTTAGTGTGTTCATGACCCTTTACTACATGCCCAAACCTGCAAAACTGTGATGAGTGGTTTTGAGATCACTGCAAAAAGTTCTGGTCTGAGAAAAGCTTGTTTTCTGCAGAGAGATAGCAGAGCTTTGTGGTTAAGAATACAGCCTCTGGGTCACATGGCCTGAATTTAAATACTGGCTTGACCACATCAGAGCCAGGTGATGCGGGTGATGCAGGTTAAGTTCCTTTACTAAGCTTTAGTCTCCTCCGAAATAGGGAGAGGAATAGTAATAGTTCCTACCTTAGAGGACAGTTGCAAGGAACAAATGAGGTAATCTAGATAAAACTCAAGATGACTGCTCACTCAGTGTGAGCTGTTGATTCTGTCTCTAGTTGTGAGGATTCATGGAGAAACTCATGAGCTATAGATCCTACTATATAAGTATATATTTTTTCTCCCTAGTTATTCAAACTGTGGTAAAATCATTCTGTATTCTTAGCCAGGACTCTTATTAGAGCTTGTTTGTAAATCATGTTTTGGGGGCTTTCAGAGCTTTGGCATATAACACTTTAAAGATCAGAGGGAAAGTATGTACTTGTTAGAGTGTCTGTATTGACAGACAAGTGATACACACCAAAAAGATGATTTATGGGAAAGCTGGCCTTCTAGAGAGTCATGATTCCCTTTGAGCATGGAGAGCAAGTAGTTACCACAATCCTGTTATGTAACAGTATGCATTTTAGTTTTATTTTTACACCTGGTCTCAGAAATTAGGTCTGTAGAAAATAAATCCCATGTTCTTTTGTCAGTCATTAATGAAGTTTAATCATCTTTTTTTGTCTTTAGAATACCATTTAGCACATTATTAAATATTCTCTTTTTCTCTATTTATTACACCATATAATGTTTTTCTAATTTTGGGTGAAGTGGTTTGAGAGAAGAGAATGTATGCTAGTCACTTGTATATTTCCGACAGCATCTAGCAAGTGCTAGTTATCTATGAGGAGCTCAGTAAATAGAAAGATACTTTCCAAATAGTACTACTAGGCACCACCTAGAAGTGGTGCTTCAGAGAATATTAAATGTGGAAGGTGTCATTCTTATTAACACCTGGATCTATGAAAACCAAGTTCAGAAAAGCTCTGTGAGGTCCACAGGTGCATAGTGGCAGAACCAAGTGTGCCGACCTCTAATCTTACATCCTTTCTGTGACTCCATGTTTCTGTTAATGACTTGATATTCCTTATTAGGATAACAAGTACTTAATTTTTAGTATTACCCTAATATTATAAAACAAGCTTATGGAAAACTATCCATTTATAAGTTAAAATTTCAACCTGAAGAAACTGCTTTAGAATGAAGAATGATTTCCTTGATATTTTGCTTTCAAATTTAGGTACAACTTGCCCATTGTACTTTTGGTGGTGAATAATAATGGAATTTACCAAGGTTTTGATGCAGATTCTTGGAAGGAAATGTTAAAATTTGGAGATGCTACTGCAGTGTAAGTAACCCAGAACAATGTGTATTTAATTTCTCTCATCTATTTTAATCTCTCCTTAAAGAGTCTGCTGTATTGAAATGTGCCTCTGTCATGTGAGTATTGTTTACTTATATTGTCAGCCCCTCTAAAGAGTAGGAACCCTATCTGCATGACTCCCCTTTGTACAACCATTCGTAATGGGGTGCTTCATTTTTTTTCATTTTCTTTTTTTTTTTTTTTCCCAAATTTTTATTTAAATTCTAGTTAGTTAACATAGTGTAATATTGGTTTCAGGAGTAGAATTTAGTGATTCATCGCTTACATGTAACACCCAGTGCATGATAGGGTGCTTCAATAAATAATTTATGATCAGGGGGCCACTGAAGACTTGGGACAATTAAGTTTAATGTCTGAGCTTTAATGAAAGGGCTTGTTGAAAATGCTCCCAGTCCTTCTATTCCTATTACACCACGGAAGAAATGAATGTTAACATATTCTTTATGATCCAGAGGTCTTCCTTCTCTTTATTACTTAACAAACTCTTGATTATCTGATGGCAGAGTCAAAGTGAGACAGTATTTAGCTGGCCATGCTACGAGTCGTGAATTTGCTCAGTCTGGGGTGGAGCAGGGTGTGAGTATGTTTGCTTATGCTTCACTAACTTCAGTTCTCATTTTGCTGTTATTTGCTATATTTTGCAATAACCATTCCTTTTTTCTTCTTTTTATTTTGGGTTCATGGTAGTTGATGGCATAGCTTGCACTGTTCAATATAGTAGCCAGTAGCCATGTGTGGTTATTAAATTAAAAAGTCAGTTCCTTATTTTAACTAGTCACATTTCAAGTGCTCACAGCAACAGGTTGCTAGTGGTTACTATATTGGGTACCACAGATATAAATATAAAACATTTCTATCATCACAAAAAGTCCTATTGGACATTGCTATATAGACAATAAAAAACATATGGAAAGTTTAGGGGCACCTGGGTGGCTCAATCAATTGGACGTCTGACTCTAATTTTGGCTCAGGTCATGATCTCGGGGTCCTGGGATTGAGCCCCACAACAGGCTCTGTGCTCAGCAGGGCGTCTGCTTGAGGATTCTCTCTCTCCTTCTCCCTCGCCACCCCCCGAAATAGATAATCTTTAAAAATATATATATATATGGAAAGTTTAGTGTACTGGCATATTTGTTTAAGTGTTGGACATAAAAGTATGCCTTTGAGTTCAGCCTAAATTTTTCCATAAATTATTTCAGAAAATGACTTTTTTTTTCTATTGACTTATGAATTTTTTAGGGCTCCTCCATTCTGTCTTCTACCAAACTCACATTATGAGCAGGTTATGACTGCTTTTGGAGGCAAAGGGTATTTTGTACAAACACCAGAAGAACTCCAAAAATCACTGAAGCAGAGCTTGGCAGACACAACTAAACCTTCTCTTATCAATATCATGATTGAGCCGCAAGCCGCACGGAAGACCCAGGTAAATTCAGTTGCTAAGCAGAAATCAGAAATGCATCTTCCATCCTATCCCCAGAAGTATCTAGCAAATAGAACACTCTGTTCAGAGTTCTGTCTAAACCATTTCTGAGTTTGGCACTTTCTTGTGTTTTTCCAATAAGTATTTGTTGAGATATGTGTTAGGTGTGTTGTGTTACTTGCTAAGAATAGCTGATGAGCAAACCTGAACTCAGCCCTCACTTAATGGAGCTTAGAGACCAGTAGGGGAGAGGGTTGTGATGCATTCACGACTGAATGCATCACAACAAAGTGAGGCAGTTGCTCTGAAGGAAGCCACCCAGTCCTGAACAAATATACTACGAAGGAAGCTGATTTATTTTGGGGTCCCAGGGGAAATCTTCTCAGAGGAACTTGTGCTTAAGCTGAGATCTGAAAGAAAAGTAGGGACAGTCTCAAGCAAAGAGGCTAGGGAAGACTGACGGCAAGGAGCATGGCAAGTCTGAGCAACTGAAAGAAGGCCAGAGTGGCTAGAGGCAGAAGGTAAAGGAAGCCCAGTGGGAGGGTGAGACCATAATAGGAAGATATGTGCAGTTACATTCAAAATTGGTTACTTTGGCCTCCATAGCAAAACTACGGTATAGATTATAGCAGTAAAATAAATGACAGGATGTGTAGCATGATCCTCTCCCATCCCAGATTAAGTTGCTTTTCATACTAAATTTTGTGCTCTGATCCTGGTCCTGCCACTTGCCCTCTCTTCTATACCTGTCTTCCATGCTTACACCTCGTGTATCAGTCACTGTTTTCAGAGCAGATCATTTTTTCAAGATGTTTCTGTCTTGGTTCTTTATACATATGTATGCTGCAAGATCTTTTTCTTTTTTGTTTATTTTCTTTTTTTTAAGATTTTATTTATTTATTTGAGAGAGAGAGAGAACATGAGCAGGGAAGAGGGGCAGAGGGAGAGGAGGAGGCAGACTCCCTGCTGAGCAGGGAGCCCAAAGTGGGCCTCGATCACAGGATCCTGAGATCATGACCTGAGCTGAAGGGAGATGCTTAACTGACTGAGCCACCCAGGTACCCCTCTTTTCCTTTTTTGAATAAGGTAGTAGACCAGTAGGCAAATGGATGCCTGGACAATCAGTTAAATGTAAATTAACTAATTTGGAAACTATAAAATATATAAAACTCTACAAAAATTCTTTTTCTATAGAAACATATCAGAGGGGCACCTGGGTGGCTCAGTTCGTTAAGCGTCAGACTCTTGATTTCGGCTCAGGTTATGATCTGAGGGTCCTGAGATCAAGCCCAGTGTAGGGCTACATGCTCAGCAGGGAATCTGCTTCTCTCTCTCTCTGCCCCTCCCCCTGCTCATGTGTACTCTCTCTCTCTTTCAAATAAATAAATAAATCTTAAAAAAAAAAAAAAAACAGATATCAGAGACTTTGGTGAAAGGAACAGAACTACAAAATAGCCAGAAAACAATTAACAAAATGGCAAGAAGTACATATTTATCTGTAATTCCTTTACTGTAAGTAGACTAAATGCTCCAATCAAGAGTGGCTGAATAAATAAGAAAACAACACCCATCTATATGCTATCTACAGGAGACTCAGCTCAGATGTAAGGACACACAGTCTGAAAGTGAAGGGATGGAAAAAGATATTCCGTGCAAATGGAAACCAAAAGAAAGCTGGAATAGCTATATTTATATCAGACAAAATAGACTTTAAAACAAATATTGTAGGGCGCCTGGGTGGCTCAGTTGGTTAAGCGACTGCCTTCGGCTCAGGTCATGATCCTGGAGTCCCTGGATCGAGTCCCGCATCGCTTCTCCCTCTAACCCTCCCCCCTCTCATGTACTTAGTGGTTACTATATTGGGTACCACAGATATAAATATAAA